GAAATGTTAAATTGCTCTCCTGAAGCTTTAAATCATCATTCCGGAAATGAAAATCTCGATAAAACACAATGATTTTATTCTATGAATATATAACTTACTATCAAGATTTAATTGAATATGTGCATTGCTTTCTCCTAATTTATTCTTTGCTGAAATTTTATATTTTCCAGCATCAGTTGCATTAACATCATCAATTTCAAGACAAGCAACATATGTGTTATTTGGTAATGGATCACAATAGATTAAATAACGACCTGAATCTTGTAATGAAATATCATCACGTGACCAAAATAAATCTGGTTTAGGATCGGCAGCAATTTTACATTCAAATTTTAAACGTTTACCATCATTTTCTTGTTTTATAATTGGTTTTTGAATAAATGTTGGTGCAGTACCTTCAGTTGAACTAAAATTATTTCAATATTATAAAAGAAAACAATAACAATAAAAAAAAAAGAAAAACTTTATTTACTTTTCAGCTGGTGCTGAAGTAGATTCCTCTTCATTTGAGAAATTCAGACTAACATTAGCTGTTACTTCTCCAGCTTTATTTTTAACCACAATTTTATATGTTCCAGCATCATTTGGACCAAGATCAGTAATTTCAAGTTGAACATCATAATTATTTCCAGTTGCAACATTAAATGTTTGTTTATGTTTAGTTGATGTTGCTGAAATTTTATTATCATTTTGAAACCAAGTTACATCAGGCTTGGGCGTTCCTTGAACTTGACATTCAAAATAAAGACGTGTAGGATCATCAGGTGATTGTCGAATAGCTGGCGGTTTAGTAAACCGAGGGGCACTAGCTGCCATGACGTTTTTTTTTCTCTCGTCAATCGATCGATTTACTAGCTATTTATCTATCTTAACAATAAAAAATAAAGAGACACGATATTATCCATCCATTTGCAGTTATATTTATGTCTATATGTAGAAAAAAGTATCAAAGAACTAATCATAAAAAAGATTATAGATGGTCGACGACAAGCTAAAAGACATAACAGAGAAGAAGAAGAAGAAGAAAAAAAGAAGAACAAGGCAAAGAAAACCATGTACTATTGTGTGTTAGAAAAATATGTCCTTTCCTGTATTCGCACAAATCGGTGTTGATCATCTAATATTTCCTATCGTACATAGAAAAAGAAGAAGAAGAAAAGAAGAACGATATTCTCTGTTGGTACAATCAAAGAGCGAGACATTATGACAAAAATTTTCTTCTATCGGTTTTCTTTTTCTTCTTTACAAGATATCTGTTGCACATTCTGGCATGTTCCCTTCTTCTCCTTCTTCTTCTTCTTCTTCTTCTCTCTATTACTCTTCTAGAATAAGAACAACAAAATATTGTCTATTGATGGATAATTGTAAGACAGCAGTAGACAACTAAAATGTATGGATGTTACTATCGGTAGGGTGGCGAAAAAAGGAACAAGAAGAAGATAGAAATGAAAGGTTCTCTCTTCTAAAAAAACTAAAGAGAACAACTATAAAAGGACAATTGACAAGATAACAACAACAACAAAAACAACAACAGCACCAACTAAGAGATATAGCAATGTACAGGAGAAGAAAAAAAAAAAAAGAGGAGCTAACTCAGCATCACGTCTATTGCTAACAACAAGAAAATGAGAGACAGAAGACATGAAAGCATATTGCAATCATTCTATATGGACAGAAAACGAGCTAAAAAAGATAAGTAAATACATTGAGATAAACCGTCCAATATGATCGACAACTACAATGACGATAGAAAAGAAAGAATGCTAATCGTCCCTGGACATACAAAAGCAGAACTAAGAAAACTCTTTAATTGATATGATGATGACCATTATCAATATACTTGTCTATCAATTATAATAAACTAATTTGAAAAAAACAAAGAATAAGTTCTTCTTATGTTTTTCTATTAATCTAAATCGTCACTTACATGCCGATCTCAATCTTTATCCAATTCATTTTAGCAGTATACATATATCTATCTATCTATCTATGTATATATATATATATATATATATAACAAGAGAGAGAGACAGAGATAATTAACAAACCTTGTTGAAAAAGGTCGTTGGACTGATGCAAAAAACATCTTATTAGAACAATGGAATTCCTATTTATTTTTTTTTTCTAGACAAGAAAAACCAAGATATAAGCTTTTCTCAATAAGAACAACATATACAAATGTACACATCCTATACTGAGTGTTTTCTTGCCACACGTATTCCACAAATGTAGGCGTCTGCGACTGATGCGGATAATCATAGTAGTATAAGCAAAAAAAGATGGTTGTACACGGCCGTTGTCTTCATCCATAGGACGATAAAGACAATATGACAATAACATCAATAGATGGAAAATGTCGTTTTTAGACAGAATAGAAACGCCAAAAAAAAAAAAACTAGAAAATAACAAACATCAACTTCATACGTGATGATTTCTTTTGATACTATTTATGTTGACTAAAAGTGCAACTGAGACAATGATGATGACGAACAAAAGAAGATTTTCTCAAAGAAGCAGAAAAAGGCCAGTTTACATGTCAATCTATCGAGAAAGAAGAGAAAAAAAAAGAGAAACACGAGTAAAGATCACGATCGTTAGTATACGTATACAACATCTCAATATCAATAATCAAAAACAAAACAAATATATATTGACTTATGTTTTCCTCCTTTCTTTTTTCTTTACTTATTCTTCTTCTTCTTCTTCTATACTTATGAGACAGATATACCAATTTTTTTTTAATGTCTTTTTTTTTATTCTATGAGGTTTTTTTCTATATGCCAAAAAACACGGATGTCATCATACGTTAACCTTATTGAGTTAATCTTTGAGTTTTTTTTTTTCTTTGTGGGATGTTGTCGTTGACAGACTAAATAAATTCTACGTACAAATGATAGCTGTACTTATTAGATAATCTATCATTCTAAACATGAGAATGTTGCTCTAAAAACAACAACAAAAACAAATATATATGTCATCGAATTATGTTTATAAGGGATTACCTAGTCTCAATGATGTATAATTATATTATGAATTTGAAAAATGAAACATACAAAATAAAATGAAATATATTATATTATTTTTCATAATAATCGAAATGCTTTTTCTTTCATTGTTAACTATCAAATAATATAACAAATTAACAAAAAAATGATAGATATGAGAATGAATCATTGAAATAATGAAGCATATACAAATAGAAGAACTTATGATTTATTGTAGTTATAATGATAGTTAAATCAATTCGTTGATAAAAACTATAATGATAATCTGACAAAAAAGATAGTTTTTCCTTATTAATGATAGATTGACATCCAATGAAGATCAGATAATATAGACAAGGTTATTTCTTTTTTTTGTATTTTTGTCAATTTAATGTTCGGACTATGGACTTTATTTTGATCGTTGTAATAATATATTTTCTTTCATATCTTATCATATAAATTAATATATGTTTATTTATTAATTGGATATCTTGATGAAGTTTATCGAATGAATTCACAATAGAATTCAAGGGAATTTCCTAAGCATGATATATTTATTTCATAAAAAAAAAACAACGACTAGGGTAAATAACACACATGAAAAAAAAAACAATGTTAAAAACGTTTTAAAGCAATCACAGTTTCATATATAGATTGATTATAAAATGTCCCTTCACGTTTATTAACTAAATGTGAAAACCATCGTTTTCGAATCTTGATTTTATGAAAAACACCTGAATTTTGTAAACTAGTCTGTGCAGATATATATTCTAATGGTGCAGTAAATTTTCGTGCACTAGGCCATAATGCATAAGTGACAACCCCAATAGACGATCCATCCTTGAGTAGATAAAGACGACGTATACATCGAGCTGGATAGATTATACAAGCACCAAATATAGCACCGCCTAAAATGACAATAAGTATAACAAAAATATTTTTCTTGTTGAGGTTTTATATTATCAACTTATACGATTTGAATATTAATAATTGAAATGAAACTGTTCTTACAGATTACGAAAATTTAAATCTCGAATGAATTATAACTACTATCAAAATTCTTAGTTCTTTAACAAATACGAGTCTATACCAATTTGCTACTGTATTCTGTCATATCAGACTCTTATCGTAATAAACAATGTCTTGTTCCTATCTGTGGTAAACATTTTATTTCAGGAAGTCGCTCCCATACAATCCATTGATCTATGTAATATAAAAAAGGCGTGATTGATTTTTTACTCGTCATTAACTTCTATTTTAATAAACTTACTAAGTATAACAATAACAATATTTGTTGTATATCGAAATCTTTTTGTTGGTACAATAGTTGCTGCTCGTTCTATTATTGTTGAATTTGATGTTAAATGTTCTGGTTTAGCTGTAACTGTACCAAATAAAAAAAAACTCCAATAAGCAACAAAATCAAATGCAATAAATTGCAAGAAACCAATTGCACCTAATAATGGTAATAATCGATCTTTATATTCAAAAATAAGTACATTTTTTGAAAGAGATTTTTCAATATTTGAAAAAACGGATGGTTTTGTTGTTGTTGTTATTTCATTTCGAATTATAGGTTTTGTTAGAATATATCCAATACGACGCCATGTTGGACAAAGAATAGAACGAAATAGAATCATTCTTTTTGTCTACAAGTTAAAATATTCTTCTTATTATTTTTTTATGAGTTTCTTTTTTCTTAAATAAAGCTGAACAGACAACAGATACAAATTTAATAATATGCTTCAAATAATGTGAAGATATTCATGTATATACAATGAAGACACATTTATCAGTCCAACCACATACACGACTAGATTAAATATCAAAACAAAATGTTTGATTTTAAATGCAAACTGGCCAATACATATCTCAATTATGTCATTGATTAGAATTAAACGTACAACAAAAATAAAGAAAAATTTAAAATACAAAAGCACAAAAAAACACACATACACAGCAAAAACATTATTAAATATGACTAGAAAAAAAAAACAAGATCTTTTTTCTTTTGCATTAATATGGACATAGAACTTTGAGAATATAATTTGTTAATAATTCTGTTACTTGAACACTATCTTCATTAATAGCATGAAGAACTAGAATGTATAATAAACAAAAAAACAAATAATTTATAGAATTAAAAATAACAACTAACTTTTATTTAAATTTTCTAAATGTTCAACTGATAAATATGTTGGATGATCACGATCAAATGGTATTATTGTTGTTAAATACTAGAAAAAAAAATATATATATATATATATATTTATATACAAAATAAAAACATTTAATTGTATCATAAAAAAAATATCCTTGAGGAAACAAAATATTTGATCTATGTTTTTTTAATTGTTTGATTTAATTAAGCGTATAAATCTTTCGTCAAAGATTTTGTTTTTCTTCTCATCAAAATTAAGATTGATTTGTTGTCGTGAAAGACTTATCTTTCAATTATGATACTATCTTGTTATCGTTTAATAATATAGATAATATGAAAATTCTACTATCAGAGTTAATCGATAATTGTGTCATATAGATAAAAAAAATAAATAAACATGGATATTTCAGCATGTTTTCATTCATGTCATCTCTTAGTATATGTTAATGTCGTCAAAATGTACTAGGTTATTTTTTTTTTCTTATTTCTCTAATCAATAATATAGACTTTCAAATTTCAAATGTCTATATTGACAGATAATATTATAATTAAATGCAAATGTGTTCTCAATAATATTCTATTCATAGATTCGAACCAATGATAATAAAACTTCATCATCTTATTTAATTTTTGTCTATTTTTATTTCCGATGAGGCAGAATTGTTCGATAATTAAAACATTCTTTCCAATCAACATGGTCTCTTTCTCTCTCTCTTTTTTTTTTCTTTTCTTTCTCTATATATTCTATCTATCCTTTTATCTAATTAACAACAACACTAGACAGTTGTATAGACAATAAGAAAAGAAAAAGTTTGTTTAGCAGTTCATCTTCTATAATAATAAATATTCAGATAACGTATTTTATCTCTCACTAGAAAAGAAGAATTCTCAATAGACATCAGTGGGTACTAATAAATGCACTAGTCTCGTACACAGTCATATGAATTGTATTTGCTATAGATAATAGTAAATTAATATTTTCCGATTATATAGAAAAAAATTAAATGAAATTTACTGTTCCCGGTTCCGTATAATTGTTATTTCCAACTATTGTACGACATTTTTCATGTTTATCATTTTGATAATGTCGACGTTTATTCTAAACGAAGAAAAAAAAAAAAGAAAAAGAATTTTCCTATATAAAACAAAATCTATGATGGATTATCTTACTTGAATACTGAGTACAAGCGAAATAAATGTATTTTTTGTTTCTTTTTCATATTCAAGTTCATCTCGATTAGCTAATTCTTGTACAAGTATATGTGATAAATTTTTAATTGATATATTTAATTCATCATATAATTCATTTAATGAATAAATTGATTGATTTTTTAAATAAAATTCATTATTTTTAATACATGATATATGTAAATCATCATCATCATCATCATCACAATAACCTGAATCTGGTGTCATATCTT